CAGGATTTACCAGAACTTTTTTGCTCCTTGCAGTTAAGGTAAAAACCCCATGGCGTATTAAGTCAGGGTGGTATAAATGAATGAGGTGAGAGAAGGTGAAATTGACATTGGCTTTGGAGGATAAATATCTCAAACAAGCCACTGTTCTCCACACTAGTGGACCGATTTGGGCCAAACAAATTATAAAGAAACGGCAAAAATCAAGAATAACTGGGTCAATCGGAGGATTAAAACCTAAAGTGAAGGGGTAAGTATAAACAAAAGAATACCCATTTCTAAAGGAGGAAATTCTCTGATTTGGGGAAGGAATTGACATTCGAAGACTATCCTTCCAGTTACAATCTTTTCTTATGATGGGAATTGTAAGCTCGGTTACTATTGTATGGTAAGTATCGGCTTTTTCCAAATTTGCAATTTGCTTTTGAAGAGACGTTTTGTCACTTTCAAAAGACAAATCGCTGGGAACTATCTCATCAACTGAGGGTTCTTGAGAAGAATCAAGAATTTCTCTACTTCTAGAAGAGGGGGCCTTTGGGATAGAACTCCTTGAAGAAGAACAAGAGGAGCCGCCTCGAGTAGATTCTAACCCTGTTCGAAGCCTACCTCCTCCGCCTCTTCAGTGTCTAACAGGGGCGTTGGGAAATTGGTCTAGAATTGGAACTTTTTTACGGTTAGGGTTTGAAGAAGACATTGTTAAGATGGATAAGTCGAAAGAAAGTAGAAATAAAGAAGAAAGTGTTTGCTGAAGATTTGTGAAGAAGGCAAAGGAAGAAAAAGTTATGTATATAATGGGAACCGTCAAACTTAGAAGTGTAATGATGGAAAGCCTATAATAAAGGCAACTATCACTTCGTGAATAGTGAGAATGAAGAAGTCTTGAAAAAGGGTGTAAATAGCAGAATCAATCAGAAAATGACACATGGGCGGAGCATTAAGTGGAAAAGACTACTGAGGCGTTAATAATGTCATAGGCATTAATTGTGGCGAAAATTCCTTTTTTATGAAGATCCACTTCCCAATTATTTAATTGATAAATAAATGGAAAGTGGGGGNNTTGGTATTTAATAGGAATAATTGTGTAACGGCTTATTTAGTATCATTTATTACTCATAATTATACCATTAAAGCTGAGGCTTCATTCCTTTACCTAGAATGACCTATAAAAGGAAGAAGTATCATCATTTGTAAGGACACGGAATACTATTGGGAACTCATTGAAATACAAAATTATTCACTATTTTACCATCATTCTCAAAAGTATTTTAATTTCGTCTCCTGATTATCAGTAACCCGAATTTATTTTTAGCTTTGACCAAAGACCTAAATTTTTGGTTAAACAGTACTATGAACTGTAAAGCCCCGTTTATACCAAAATTATTATTTTTCTATGAACTGTTATTAGAAAAAGTTTATTCACACTCAATGTTTACATCAAAATTAGTTTTTTTCCCATGAACCGAAAATACAACTAGAAACTGTATTTTTTTTAATTAATATTACAAGTTTTAAAACTTATTTTTATGAGTTATAGTCTAACTGTTCAACATGCATTAGCGGTTTTTACTAAAATTGCATTTTCTGCAAAGTCGGCTCGTTCCTTATTTGTATGTATTAAGATCATAATGGATAGTGAATTTAATAGAACATAAACTTCTTTTTATTGGTTCTGTTTTAATGTTGATTTTGTTTCTTACCTTTTTAATTATCATAAATATACTTACTATGAATTTTAAATGTTATATTTTAATATTAAAGTTCTTTTGTATTTTATTTAAATTAATCATACTCTGGTGTCGCTAAACTCTTTCCACTGTTATCATCCAATAGAGATACAATGTGGTGTCTATGGCCTTGGCCTTTTCCACTTCGATGGCTAGCTTTTGGGGGGTCAAATCCTAAATATACCCTGTATTAGGGGCTTTTAAATATACCCTGTCAAGCATTTACTAGAGTTTGTTTCCAATTTGAATTAATTTTGTGTTTTCCAAAATAAATTCTAATATCGAGAATAAATATTTAATATATCTAATATTGAGTTTTGATACGTGTAAATTCTCTACTTGATATATTAGTCAACATTATACCGTTTGATGACTTTACGAGGGGCAATCGAATTGAGTGACATTGACTGCCATTCTTGGTGACAAAATGGAAGAGTAAACGGTCAAAAACAAAGTATTTCCAATGATTTTAGAAAATTGTGGGAATAAATGATTTCCAACGACTTTATCCAATTGGCTAAAGAAAAAATTTATCCAATTAATCAATTACGAAGCATTAGACTTCGTTAACTTGGTTCCTTGAGTCAGGTTGTCCTTATCAGAATCATAAGTTACAGCACCTATATAAGTCCAAGTATACTTATCAAAAACACAAATTCCAACACTTCCTAAAGAGATAAACACTCTACTTAAAATTCGCCTGTTGATCTCCCCATTAATTTAATATAAAGTTCCTATCTTAATCAGCTTTTTCTCATAAGTTCAAATTTTAGTTAAGGACCAAAGTGTTAATTATGGCATCCACTGTCAAATTCCTATACAGAATGATTAAAAATACTCTTTTGGGCAGTGGTTTACCAGAATTGGAAGAACATCAAACTCATGAGATTTTTGAGCAATTCGCTTTTGTTGATGGAAATCAAGGTAATTAAGAGGTTCCATTTCAAGTTTTCCTCCATTTCTAGTCACATTTTTTTTATATTTCTCCCTTGTAAATTCTTCATTATTCCATGCACGAGCAGTGTAAAGAACTTTGAGATAATACTTACACTGTTGGTCGTTCTGATCATGTGTAAACTTTAACTATTGTGCATGGCATGTCTGGCAAATTAAACAAAGTCTTTGACTCGTGTTTTCATTGAACTTTTAACTCAAGTAGAATTGATTCCACAGAAACAACAGGAGAAAATGAGCAGAATATACTATCATGCAAATGCTTACAAAAAAAAAAAAGTTTAATCCCAGAGGGGAGGGGAGTGTTTACGCAAACTTTAACCTTACCTTGTAAAGGTGGAGAGGTTGTTTCCAATGGAGCCTCGGTTCATGCAAATGCTTATTTTTGCTAAAAATTCATTTGTTCCCTTGTCAACTGACATATGGTCTCCCTTTATTTTTCTCCTCCTTAGCCTCACTTTGGGACCTTGTTTTTTGTACAGGTATGTCTCGTAAGCTTTCCAATCCAAGTAAAAAGACAACAAATGTTAAGGGCACTGTTGTTCTGATGAAGAAGAATTTCCTGGATTTAGATGATGTCAAGGCATCTGTTGTCGACCGTGTCGATGAGGTACTTGGACATAAGGTCTCATTGCAGCTTATCGGTGCTGTCAATGCTGACCCTGGTACGTTATAGTTTCAACATTTATTAAGAGTAGTAAACTGAAATCAACAATTGGCTAACTCATTTTCAGTTTGTTGTTAGTAATTGTGGTTTGTTTAACTAGTTGTTTTTTTTTAGCTAACAAATGCAGAGGAAAACCTGGAAAACCAGCATTCCTGGAAAATTGGGAAGCCAAATTCACACCTTTGACAGCTACTGATGCTACATTTAGAGTCACATTTGAATGGGAGGAAGAGGCTGGAGTTCCAGGGGCTTTCCTTATTAAGAACTTTCACCAAAAGGAATTCTATCTAAAGAAACTGACTCTTGATGATGTTCCAGGCCACGGCCGAGTATGCTTCATTTGCAATTCATGGATTTACCCTTCTGAGTACTACAAGAAAGATCGTATTTTCTTCTCCAATCAGGTATAAATTAGCTTTCTATGTTCCTTTTTATTTTCAAAGAGCTACTGATGGATTTCACATGCTGATCATGTTTCTTTCTGTAGACTTACCTACCAAGCCAAACACCAGAAAATCTTCGTTCATATCGCGAAGAAGAGCTGGAAAACCTGAGAGGAAATGGAATTGGGAAGCTGGAGGAATGGGACAGGATCTATGACTATGATGTCTATAATGATTTAGGTGATCCTGATAAAGCTCCAAAGTACGAGCGCAAGATTCTTGGAGGATCAGCTGACTACCCTTATCCTCGTCGAGGGAGAACAGGTCGTTTGCCTACTTTGACAGGTAATTAAATACAGAACTTTTATCCAATTGTTATGCAATTCAGCAGCTACATGGAATTTCTTTTGCTGGACTCTAAATATACTATTGTGTCTGCAGATCCTAAAAGTGAAAGTCGGCTGCCAATGATTAAAAGCTTAGAGATTTATGTTCCCAGAGATGAGAGATTCAATCAGTTAAAGATGTCAGATTTTGCAGCATATGCCCTGAAGTTGTTATCTCAGTTCTTACTTGCTGAACTTGAGGCTTCTAACTTTACTGAGTTTGATACATTTGAGGATGAATTAAAAATATATGATGATGGATTTAAGTTTCCTTTTGAATCTCTTGTTCATAAAATAAGGGATCATGTTCCAATGGAACTGGTGAAAGAGTTATTGAGATCAGATGGTGAACACCTCTGTAAGTTCCCTATGCCACAAGTAATCAAAGGTAAGAAAAAACAAAATCACTTTCCTTACTTTAGCTTGATAATAAAGCAACATGTTTTGTTCGATTTTATTCTGATGTTGTATTTTGAGCTTATGCTATTCTATTTACCTTGAATTTATGGACATCAGATGATAAATCTGCTTGGAGAACTGATGAAGAGTTTGCAAGAGAAATGTTGGCTGGATTAAACCCTATTATCATCTGTTCTCTAAAAGTATGGTCAAGATTGCCCCCGTCTTTACTGTATGATCAGTTGAATACCATTTCAAATAAATGATCATAATATTTTGCTGAATTATTTTACACACAGGAGTTTCCTCCGACAAGTAATCTGGATCCTAAAGTTTTCGGCGACCAGAAGAGTACAATTACAGTGGAACATATAAAGAACCATATAGATGGATTAACTGTAGAACATGTAATCCTGTATTAATCTTTGGTGTTTTTTTCATATGTAAAATGAAAGAAAAGTATTAAATTTCTTGCTCGTGCCATAAACCAGATTGGTTGATGAGTATTAGTTTCTTTTATAGGCAATCAAGGAGAACAGATTGTTCATATTGAATCACCATGATACTCTCATGCCTTACCTGAGATGCATAAACTCTACTACTACAAAGACCTATGCCACAAGAACTTTACTTTTTCTGAAAGAAGATGGAACACTGAAGCCAGTAGCAATTGAACTGAGCTTGCCACATCCTGATGGTGATCATCTTGGAGCTGTTAGCAATGTGTACACACCAGCAAATGATGGCCAGGAAGCAGTTGTTTGGCAACTAGCAAAAGCTTATGTTGCTGTAAATGATTCCGGCTATCATCAGCTTATTTCCCATTGGTATAATCTATAACTACATAGCCATTATTTCTTCAGTGCCTGATCTAGTTGCTATTTTATTTTTCATTCATGCTGATCTTTGATCACAGGTTGAATACTCATGCAATAGTTGAGCCGTTTGTGATTGCCACAAACAGGCAATTAAGTGTTCTCCATCCGATTTACAAGCTTCTGCATCCACACTTCCGCGACACCATGTTCATAAATGCATTTGCTAGGCAGACCCTCATTAATGCTTGTGGAATTGTTGAGATGACAGTTTTCCCCTCCAAATTTGCCATGGAAATGTCAGCTGTTATTTACAAGAATTGGGTGTTTCTTGATCAAGCACTTCCAGCTGATCTTATTAAAAGGTAAATATGAAGTTCCCTATAAATTATTCATTTATGCACTCGCCATGGTTCTGATACCTTGCTAACATGGTCTTATTGATTATACCATTCTATTTCAGAGGAATGGCGGTTGAGGATTCAAATGCACCACACGGTCTTCGCTTATTAATTCAAGACTATCCATTTGCTGTTGACGGGTTGGAAATTTGGGCAGCAATCAAAAGTTGGGTTGAAGAATACTGTCATTTCTATTACAAATCAGACGACATGATTCAGGGAGATGCAGAACTCCAAGCCTGGTGGAAGGAGCTGCGTGAAAAGGGACACGGTGACAAAAAGGATGAGCCCTGGTGGCCTAAAATGCAGACAGTCCTAGAACTAATAGACTCTTGCACCATTGTCATATGGATAGCTTCAGCACTACATGCAGCAGTCAATTTTGGGCAATATCCTTATGCTGGCTACCTCCCTAATCGTCCTACATTAAGTCGAAGATTCATGCCAGAGCCTGGAACTCCTGAATATGAGGAGCTCAACACAAATCCTGAGAAGGCTTTCCTGAAAACAATAACACCTCAGATGCAAACACTACTTGGGATTTCCCTCATAGAAATGTTGTCAAGACATACTGCAGATGAGGTTTACTTGGGACTAAGGGACACTCCTGAATGGACAAATGATCAAGAACCACTACAAGCTTTTGAAAGATTTGGTAAGAGGCTGAGAGAGATTGAGGAGAGAATTACACAAATGAATTGTGATGAGAAATGGAAAAATAGGTCCGGTCCTGTGAAGGTGCCTTACACTTCATTCTATCCCTCAAGTGAAATGGGATTAACTGGCAAAGGAATTCCTAACAGTGTGTCCATATAAAGCTTTTGATTCTATTGGCACTAATCTGTTGGTGTACTAAATGACAATATAAAATGTTGGATTAATGGCTAATGTGTTCTTGATTTGACAAAGGTTAAATTAATGTCCTGTTTCACCTTTGTTTCTCAGTATTTTATGTAATAAAATTTTAATATTTAAAAAGAAGTGGACTATAAGTCAGCTGATTGTGTAATAAAGTCGTACTCCTTTATCATACTAAACCTGTTTTATTAACCCATTAGTTCAGCTAAGAACACGGGGACATCATATGAAAATTTTAACAAGACAGCTACTTAATGTCTTAATATTTAATCTTATCATCTAACATCATTATACTAAGTAATAGAAGACTATCCATATGCTGTAGACGGGCTCGAGATTTGGTCTGCAATCAAAACATGGGTGAGATCAGACTACTGCAACTTCTATTACAACACCAATGAAATGGTTCAGAAAGACACAGCTGCATGAAGTGCTGAAGCTGTCCATATTATGATTGTGCAAGAATCTATGAGCTCTTCGCGAACGCATGATGTTTACCCTTAAAATTGGATAACAATTGAATTTGTATGTGATTTTAAGGATACGAGATATATTTTGATACAAATTAGGAAGACAGATTAATGTTGAAATTAACGATAAGAAAATAAATGCAAACCACAAAATTGAACAGCCTTAGCCTCTGAGTTCGATCACCCTCGAGCCAAAAAATGTCTCAAATAGTGTTAGAACTGAACAACAAGATGATAAAACCAGAAATGATCAGTATATTGCTTTCTTTGTGCGTGTTACAATGTGTGTTACAAAAGATCAGAACCCTCCTTTATATAGTAGGGGTGTCCTACTCTTGTTCTATACAAGGTAAAAAATCTCATGATTTGCTAATTAATCAGCCTCTTCTTGATATGTGCCAAGATTTTTGCCGTGATCCTCGACCGATTGTGGATATTTCGACTTTCCGTTATTTGGCTCGGTAAGTTTCCCTCGATCTTACTTGGTCTCTGGGTTACGAGCTGAACGATCTAATTTTGCGCCTTGGTTCGATATAACCCGACCTCGAACTTTGACTTGCCATGTTTCAACCTCGATTGGTAAAATAATGGACGAACCCGATTTCGACCGTATACAGATAGCGCCCTAATTTTTCGGAGAGAAGATGACGAGAAATGATATGAATTCCTGAACCTCACTCTGATAGATCATGACGTAAGTGACAACAGATAACTGAAACGTCCCGTCGGTCCAGTCTCCAGGGCATTAAATATGTATCAGTGTTGGTCGACCACTACTGATTTTGAACTGTCATCAGCAAACTATAAATATCCCAACTTTCATTCATTCAAACTTTGTGTTTTAAAAGTTTCTTCTACTCTTGTTCTTTAAGAATCTATTCACTCTCCAACCTTTGTACCCAGATTTCTTGAACCTTTTGCAACCACTAAGCGTGCCTTCTTAATTTCATCTTCTTCATCTCTTCTTAAAAATGGCGAAAACTTCTAAGACTGTTCCACGTAAAGAAACAACCTCTTTATCACGGTCTGCCGGCGATGGGACTGCGGCGGAGCCACACCCTGAAGAGTTCGTTGTAGGAAGGTGCCCGATTGGTGCTGATTTTAAGATCGAAAAAACTTCCTCGATACCAGATCGACTGGAGCCGGTCCCGGGATATATATGTACGATCACTTATGATCTTCTCCCCAAGGTCAAAGAGAATTGTAATTGGGCCGATAAACACATGATGGTTCCCTCGACTGAGGAATCAATTACTACCCACGTGGAGGATTTTTTAAGTGTTTACACTTACCCCTTTACGTTGGGTCCCTTAGACCCGATCATTATTTTCTTCTACAAAAGATACGAAGTGACCCTCGGTCAGATTCACCCTTCTTTCTAGAGGATAGTGATTCTTCTTTATTTTTTTCGTAAACAAAATTGAGGGGTGTGCCTTCACCCTCGATCCTCTTATGCGCATGTACAGCCCCCGACTCTATCGAGGGGGATTAATCAAATTTGCTCGCCGGGACACTAGGGCCCCTTCTCGAGTGTATATGAGGATCGGGACCGAGGCTGGATGGACCGATTTGTTCATGTGAGGACCTCGAACTTGATCCCTGCTGAGGATATGTCATTTCCCGTGAAAGGGAACATGAAGCGTAAGTATAACTTCTCCTTAAAGATTTCATTTATTGTTTCTTCCCTTTCCCTCCCCCTTATCGGTGTTTTTGTGGTGCAGTTGTGTCTCGGATGCCGAATGCAGTTCCTCAACTCAAAGAGTGGGTTGAGGACCTGGTGTCACAGAGACTATATTTCGAGCGTGCACGTGAATTGTCAAAGGGTTGGTGGGAGGTCTGTAATCATGGTAAGCTTTCTTTTCTAATGTAATAATGTTTGATTTCCTCCTTGTATTGTTAAATTCTTATCGGTTCTGTTTTCTTTTGTAGGTCTTTCCAAAGATATTGCTATGAGGCCTCCATCCGGTGATGAATATGTGTCTCTCGAGTCCCCTGCTCCGAGGCAAAGTGATGAAAAGAAGAGAAAAATGGCCCCGAGTTCCCCTAACTCAGAATAACTCGGAAAATAAAAAACCAAAGAAGAGGTCGTGCAAGCCCAAGGGAAGCACTGACACTCTACCCACGGACTTAGTCCACCAGCTAAGGGAGGAGTCTGAAGAAGAAGATAAATTCAAGCTGGTGGCCGGTGTGCGGGCAGGTGTCGTGATACAAGGGCCCTCCAAACCAGCAGGTGCTAAAATTGAACGGTCTCGACATAAGGAGGTCAATGAGGGAGTTTTAGCCGAAGAGGAGTTAACCCAACACGAGGCCGAGGTTCGAGTGCTTACTGAGAAGAGGGACACCTACAAGCTTCTCAATGAGAAGCTTCAAGCCGAGTTAGAAGCAGCTCAGAGGGAACATGTCGCGATGGCCGAGCGAGTAATTTGAGTACTTTACGATAGTGAAGACGAATTGGACATAGTAGCTAATGATCCAATCCTGCAGGTACGACAAAGGCTTGAATAGATCGGGCAGTTCCAGGCACAGGTAGATACGATACAAGTTAAGGCTGAGGAGTTCAAGAAAAATATGGACCTCAGCACAAATGGAGTCGGTCGAGCCCCAACTCCGACTGCAAAAGAGAAAACCTTGGTACGGGCCAAGAAAATCGAGGAGCTTCAATCTCAATAGAACTCGGCTATTTTCGGTAAAGATAATCTGGCCAAGAAACTCAAGGCGGACAAATCTAAGGTGGTTAAGGCCAAGACCGAGGCTGACGCTAAAGTGGACCAGTTCAAGATTGACGTTGAGGCGATTCAGGCGCAGGCTAAAAGTATGGTGGACTATGCAAAGTGGCAAGCTCGAAGGGAATCCCTGGAAGGAGTTCATGCTCAAAACATTTACGTATTGGCTGAACTCGAGAGTGCCAAAGTAGAAGAAACCAGGGCCCGGAAGCTGGCCTTTCCCGAAGAAGATTCCGAGAGCTTAAGCGAATTTGAAGATGGGGAAGATCCCGAGGATGAAGATGTTGCCTCCGATGGGAACCAGGATACTTAGGCCTTTATATGTTTTTATTTTTTGCTTTTTTGCATCTTTTTGAGGTTGTTTCGATCGTTGTAGATTTTGTATTGGGCCACTATGGCCTTTGTAAAAAGATTGTTGGATAAATATATATGAGGCTTTATTTCCCTTTCGGTTTCATATTTTTCCCTTTGCCTTATTACTTGTTTTCACGAAGGTCGGGATGCCTTAGCATAAAATAACTTAGGTTATGTTCGAAAGTTCAAACAAATCTTGTCTTTACATTACTCTATTTTAAGGCGTTTTGGGGGTTTGGTGTTACCGGAAAAAAAATTCCCAAAGTAGGTAGCCTAGATTATAGTTTACCAAGGGTAGCATTTAGAACCGGTTATGAAAAAATATTTTCTTTTTCGAAGGACTAGTTTTTGTTAAGGGTTTCGGAGGTCTCTGAATCGTGTTAATATGACCGTAGCCTTTTAGTTCGGGAGCTGCCCATTGGACTTGCTTTCCCGAGCTATCTGAGCTTGCCCAAGATAATAGTCCTCGAGCGGGGTGGTCATGCCCTTTAAAATTCGAGGGTTGCCTAATAGGTCTTATGCCCCCGAGGCCCAGTTACTTGGGCCGTTCGAGATTGTTTTTGGACGGCAATCCCCGAGTGAGGGAGTGACCATTCGAACTCCGATTAAAAGTGGACCTTGATCTTGTTACCTTTAGGAGATCGGAAGTACAAAATTCTGTAAGGGATGTAAAGAGGAAAATTTTTTAAAACATAAGATGATTGCAGGGAAAGTACTTCTCTTTATTCTTGTGCAAAATAGTTATACATGTGTACATGTTTTATACCAAGGCTTGAGCAATCTATGTGGGCACGGTTTGTTTGACCGTTTGGCCCATCCTACCTATCGAGACCCTTCCTTTACGTAGTAATTTCCTCGCTAAAGTTGATATCCGAAAGTAACGCGTATCCGAGGGTAATGCCCCCCCCCCCCCC